TATATATATATATATATTAGGGTGTGACAGTTACCCCTAAAATTTTAAATTTTTACTGTAGAGGGCTGTTCATAATTTTAGTTTTGCATATTAGTCTAACTAGCGTTATTGTAAAATTTCAAGAAGATTGTGCATATTTTGTGGTAGCTCTGACCTTGCTAAGTTTTAGTTTTTTTATCATTTTCTCCAATATGTCAGGCAGGGTCAGACTGGCACTAAAGAGCCTGGGGGCAAAGCATGGATAGGAACCTTATGGTGGCAAAAAATTAAACAAAATTCAATTAAACCTTTAATCAATTAAGGGTTTAATTTTGGTTTTTTGCTGATAAGGGTAGAGGATATTTCTAATGATGTTATTCCATAAAATGTGAAATTGTGAAAAGTAATTTAACCCTATAAATAACTACAATATTTATTGTAATGTTTTTGCAAATTGAACAATGAATTTTTATTAGTATTTGTATACATTTTTGTGTGTTTTACTTTTTCATCGTGTTTTATGGTGGGGCCCAGGACCTTTGTGCCTAAAAGGGGTTAGGGGGAATACCCCTGCCTCTCAACCCCTTGCCCGTCCGATCCTGATGTTGTGAATTTTTTTGTTATAAATATTCTTTTTTACTTTAATTTGTTTTTGTTTCATTGTTTGCATCACGTCATATTTAAAGTTTTCTAGTTTATGTTTTTCAAAAAAATTTATTTTTTTAAAATTGATTTATTTAAAAAAAAAATTTAGGTATAATAATATTGCATGGATATTGCATGGATTTTTAGTAATTTTTTTAAAAATACTTAAATTTAATCAGAAGATACTTATGATCGTGAAATAACATTAACGTTTGTCCCTTGCAAATGTGGAAACAAAGACAATAAAATTATGATGATGAAGAAAGAAAGCAACAAATATATTTGTTTTTACTTTTGTATAGCATAATAAATATTATTGTTGTTGTTTTTATCATTTTTTACTATTTTATATATTATTGTTATTCATATCAGAATTTTACTTCAGATTAGTTTATTACTTACTACTAACTTTACCTCCTTTAAGATATATATATATATATATATATATATATATATATATATATATATATATATATATATATATATTGATAAATGTTGTATACTACTGGAAAAACAACTCTTGTCTGTTTAAGAGTGATCTATATCTTTTTTTTTAGATCAAATTATATTAAAATAATTTAAATGAAAAAAATACAACTTTATGATGGCATCATAAAGTTGTATTTTTATGATGCTATCATAAAGTTGTATTTTTTTCATTTAAATTATTTTAATATATATATATATATATATATATATATATATATATATATATATATATATATATATATATATATATATATATATATATATATATATATATATATATATATATATATATATATATATATATATATATATATATATATAATATAGTGATATTTATTCAGAAACATATAGTATATTGATATTTTTATTATATTTTGTAGTATAAAATCATGGATAAAAAGTACATAACAACTATATGAAATTGTTACTTGGAACCATTCCTGGAAATGACAAGAAAATAAAAGGTTCTAAACTACCAACACAGAGACAGGTATTGTTATGCCTTTTATTAAACCTGAAAGATTTGCACTGAGATCAAGCTTTATCTGCAGCTATAGACATTGTGCTCTTACACTATCAGAAAGCCAATATCCCAACTTTAGAAGGTAGAAACAATATTGGTAGAGTAATCAAAGATTACTGTGAAAAAGAATTCATTACTTTGATGAAATTGAAATATTTTAGACAAGAGGATGAACCTAAAGACAAGAGGATGAACCTAGAATAACAAAATTTATATCAGAATTGAATTTGACAATGAAATTATATAAGAATACAGTTCTAAAGGACATGGCCACTAAGAAAAAGGGAGTAACTACAGTTGAACAAGATGCCATTGATGTTGATATTGAATTTATGAAAAGCCTGTTGAATGATAGAGCAGCTACATATTCTGGGTTGGATAAAGTAGTCACAGAAAAGCTGAGAAGAAATGAACCCATGTAAACATACTTTTGAAATGATAAATCTTGAACCAGGCTCTAGCTCTTGTGAGGATGAGAACATAGAAGAAGTTACCACCATAGCACAAAATAGGAAACACAGAAGATAAGTTAAATGTGGCATAGATATCTTTGTTCCTCATGATATATTTAAAAACTCTGATCTTGTTTCATGCAGTATCCGTAACAACATCTCGTCAACCTAACTTAGTGCAACTGTGCATTCCCTTGTAGTAGCATGTGGGGGTGACCCTTACATACTGTCTAAATGCGAGGACAACCCACCGGTATAGAACCACCATAGTACCTGAAATAAGTTTGAAGATCAAAGAAAATTGGATGCCATTGCCTAAAATGCTTGTGCATTGGGATGGAAAGCTTATGGACACTCTTGATTCAAAAAGAACAGATGATCGATTGCCAATTCTTGTGTCTGAGGCTGATGAGACAAAGCTTCTTGGTGTTCCGCTACTTCCAAACTCAACTAAAGAAACTGGTAAAGTTCTTGTAGACATCATAACAAAAGTAACTACAAAATTTCTTAGAGAATGGAATTGTGAAGAAAATATTTTTGGCATGGTTTTTAATACAACTTCATCAAATACAGGTAAACTTCATTGATTTAATTTAGAATATATGAATGAAAATCTTACACCTACCCTGTAGTGATATGGATTTTTAGGAAAGAAAACTGCTGCATGTGTGTCTTTACAGAAAGAATTAGATCTTCCCCTATTCTGGTTTGCTTGTCGAAGGCATGTGGGTGAAATACTTTTGAGTCGTTGCTGGGAAAGTTTGAAAGTTGAGACATCAGCTAGTCCAAATATTTTAATCTTTCAAATGCGAGTCCAATAGAATATATCATTAGTGTTACCTTAAATCAATGTAGACGCATATTATAGTGAAAATCTACTTTTTGTTAATGCATATAATAGTAAAAAGTAGTTTTTTAATATATGTTTTACTTACTCATCGTATTTTAACTTATAAAATAACATTTATTTACTATCTTTCTCACTTTTCTAGGTTCAAAAAACATTTCCCTAAACTGTCAACAGATGAAAAAACAAAGTATCATTACCCTCATATGATGTTTGTAGAAGAAGAACGTCAGCAAGAGATGGCTAAATTTTTTTGTGAATCTCTAGTACAACCTTTCATATGAGGTGACTACAAAGAGCTGGTTCAGCTTTGCTTGCTTATAATAACTAAGGGATCTGAACCAAAGAACTTCAAGATGCGCTATCCTGGCACTCTTCACAAAGCAAGGTAGATGAGTAAACTGCTTTATACTCTAAAAATTGTACTTCTGTCTAGGCAGATCAAAGAACATTTTCAAAAAGCTGAAATTGTTACTAGCAACCAAATAAGAAAATTGGAACGATTTGTTGTGTTCACGATTTGTTGTGTTTCAGTATATGTGCAGTGGTGGCTTGTTTGTCCTGTACCGGCTAGTGCACCATTTAATGACTTAATTTTAGTGGAAAACCTGGTAAAATTTGCTGAGCATGACTCAGCTTTAGTTGAAAATGCTTGTATGGCAGTCAACACATTTGGTACTTAGCTGAGGAGTTGGTTCCATTAGCTCTGTTCTCATCTATGGTAGAAGTAGAAACTAAAGAGGAAATGAGGAAATCTATTCTTATCTTTGAAAAGACTTCTGACACAAAAAGAGTTGGACTTTAGGGGATATGGCAAGCCCTGTCTTCCTCCTACAATAGAATATGGTACTTCTTTAGTTAACCTAATTGGGCCGGACTCATTCAGATTTTTTAGCATTTTTGATATGCCCTATAAATTCCTCTATGTTCCAGTGCAAGATTGGATTAATAGGGAAGACTATCAAAACATGAAGCTGATTATCCACAAACTTCAGGTGGTAAACGAGGCAGCAGAGCGTGGTGTAAAGGTGTGCCATGACTTTTTAGGAGTATCTAGGGATGAGAAGCAATTTCAAGATGTTCTCCAAGTCTTTTAGACAAGGTGCAAAAACGCATTGTAAACATAGTTGGACCTGCTCTTGCAGCCAACCTTCAACCTCTGTCACATCGTCGTAATGTTGCTTCTTTTTCTCTTTTCTACAAATACTATAATGGGCACTGCTCTAAAGAGCTAGCGTCTCTTGTGCCATCTACTAAAATTCATTCTCGTGTTTCTCGTCATTCAACTAAGTCTCATCCTTTTTCTGTTACTGTTCCTAAGTGCTCCAAAAACTCTTATTCGTCTAGTTTTTTTCCTCGAACATCAGTTCTTTGGAATTCGCTTCCTTCATCTTGCTTTCCAGATTCATATAATTTGCAATATTTTAAGTCGTCTGTCAATCGTTATCTTGCTCTACAATCTTCATCTTTTCTCTTCCAGTAACTTCCAACACTAATAAGTGGTTGCTTGCAACCTTGTTGGAAGCGAAGATAATTTAAAAAAAAAAAAGTAGTAGAATATGATGGACAACGGATTCCTAATCAGCGAAAGCGATTTCGTGCACAAAAAGAAAAATCATGGTTTCTAGTCCTGGAAAACAAGTAATTTTGTTTAAACAATTATACCTTATTGCACCATGTAAAAAAACTTTTTTTATTAACTTGTTTTTAACTCTGTTTGGCTGTATTTAACATAAGAAAGAGCACCACCATGTTATTAGAGTGTAATACAGAAAAAATAGTGATTTTTGGGCTAAATTCTGAATTTTAAATTTGCTAAGGCTCATTTAATTGTGGATTAATCTTAAAAAAAACATATATCTTATATGCCTAAATACAATACCAGAATTATGAACAGCATTATACGAAAAAGTTGGGGCAACTGTCACACCCTAATATATATATATATATATATATATATATATATATATATATATATATATATATATATATATATATATATATATATATATATATATATATATATATTATTAATATCTGTGTTGATAAATGCCGGTAAAGAATGCTTTATACAAAGTACAGCAAATTATATTATGTAAGACTAAATAATCACACCTGGTAGTTAAGGAAACATAACTCCAAGTATCACGCTTATTGCAATCATCAGATTTAATTTTACATTATATATATATATATATATATATATATATATATATATATATATATGTATGTATATATATGTATGTATATATATATATATATATATATATATATATACATATATATATATATATATATATACATATATATATATATATATATATATATATATATATATATATATATATATATATATATATATATATATATATATATATATATATATATATATATGTATATATAATTTGTGTTATTTTATGACACAAATCATCTCACATAATGTATTTTTTTGCTTTTATTTTATAATCTTTTTTTTTTAATAATGAATGGCAATATATAATATATTTTATAAACAATATATTTTTTTTAAAGATTTTATCAATGAAGATTTGGATGGCCGTGCTGGTTCACTTCAAGTTGCAGTCACAATAGATTTACATAGTGATCATTTTACACATTTTGATTTGTTTGTTGATGGTTTAAATGGACAGCTTCCAAATCTTGATGTTTTCAATGTAGTAGTAAGAATTGCACAGTATGAAAATATTCCACTGAAACTTAGCCATCAGGTATGTAGTTTTTGTAGTGCAATTACTAAAACTTAGCTATCTGATATTTTGTTTCTGCTAAAAGAAAAGATTTTTTTTTTCAAGATTTTTTAATCAATAAAGTTTCTAACTTCATATGAAGAGTTTTTTTTTTAGTTTTAGGTTTTAATTACTGTAAGTTTCAAATAATTTCTAACTTCTACTTGTTTCTTTATCAAACTTTACATTTAAAAATTATTGAGTTGAGCAAAATAATTTAATAAAATACGGAGGGTCAGTTTTAGTGGCCACAATGGTCTTTGGATAGGTGAATATCTAAAAATAAAAATATATAACTTAGAAATTATGGTGCAAGATTTAAATTTGGTCAACAAGAACTTGGCTTATGAATATTTTTCTAATATTAGTTTCCCTAAACAATTTAATGACTAATTTTTTACTTGTTCTATTGTATTATAATATTTTTATTAAGTTTTTAACAGGTTAAATAAGATTTAAGCGTAGAAAATTTCTACTTACCCTAATCCTCAGTCAATGTACCTAACACATTGAAAAACTATACATTTCCGTATTTTTGAAATGCCCCTAATATAATAATGTAAGCCTTTACTTTCAAATTATGCTATATATTTCTACTATGTTTACATAATTATGCTATATATTTACATATAATTACATAATTATGCTATATATTTCTACTATTTTACAAAGATAATAATTTTTTTTAACTTGATTATATAGATATTATATAATTAGATATTCTCTTTATTTTTATGATACTATGCTTGTGTGGTTTACATGGACTTTTCTAATAAAAATATATATGTATATATATAACAAGTGATAACTAAAAAATGAGAATAATTCTAACCCTCTGAAATCAAATCGCAAAAGTCAAAAAAAGAAAAGTATTCCTTTGTGTAACTATACTCTCTCTGTTTACAAACTTATCATATGTTTTATTTTGTATCAGCTAATTCAGTTATGTTTAAAATGTCATCAAAACAAGATGTACTACGCAAGCGCATTGTAAAGTTCTATCAAATGCACAAAAATCTCAGAAAAAAGTTTACTGTAAATCATTTTAAAACCAAAAATTTTCCAGTTTCAACTTTTTACTGTATTTTGGCATCCTTAACAACCAATTGCAAAAAAGTGGTAGCGGAAGACTAGCTTAAATAATGAACAAGAAGGGACTTTGTTTGCTTTCAACAACAATGGTTCAATAAGTCAACAAGATGCTGCAGAAAAGTTCAAATCTATGCAGCCTTATATCTGCAAATTGTTGAAAAAACAAAGAATAGTCTGTCGAAAAAAAACAAGAGCACCGGAATACACTGAGCAACAAATATCAATTTTGAAATCTCAATGCTGCAGGATGACCCAAAATTACTCTGGAAAATATTTTGTTTTGGATGACAAAAAGTACTTTCCTCTCTCCAAAACACAAGTTCCAGGAAATGATCGATATAATTCAGATAAAAGTTCTACAATACCTACAAAAGTAAAATACAAATATAAGCTCAAGTTTGAGCAGAAAGTTGCCATATCTGAGAGGGAAATTTCCAAGCCAATGTTCAAGCCAAGTGGTTTGGCTATTAATCAAGAAGTAAACCAAAATCATTGTTTGAAGAAAATATTGATTCAATATCTTCAAAAATACCATTCATATGGCAATTACTTGATTTGGTCGAATAACGTATCATCGCATTATACCCAAAAAAAATACAAGTCTTCTTTGAAAGCCAAAACATCCCATATGTACCAAAAAATTGCAATCCGACAAACTTGCCTCAGTGTCTCCCAACTGAAGATTTCTTTGGATATTTTAGTTTGTTAGTATACAAAAACAACTGGAGAGCTAAGAATTGCAAACAATTGATTACCCGAATCAAAAGATGCATTTGTCAAATCGATATAAATACTGTACAATGCTCCTGTTCCAACATCATTACAAAATTACATTGAACTGCTGATGATGGACCATATTTGAATGGTCATTAATTTTTTCTTAAAGATAAGTGATGTACCTTCAATTAAAATAAATTTTCATTTTCTAAACAGTTGTTTTTATTATAGCCACGATGAAACTTATACACAACTCAATATCTTTTACCATCAAAAAAAATAATTTTAAATATCTTTCTTGGACATTAATATACACAAAGTAAGTAGTTTCTTATGTACTTCCATTATTCATAATGAATTGATTTAGTCTTTCATACCTCCTTTTGCAGTTTCATTTCTTTTTCACAAAAGGTAAATTTAATTAAATGCTTAATTAATAGAACTTTTAAAATGATACCATATTGGTTTGTAAATAAAACTTATTCTTATCAAAAAAACTACTTTTAATCTGAAACCAAAAACCAAGAAAGAAGTCATGAAAAACTACTTTTCAATTCCTTATGTTGGTAATGTATCTGTTCAAAAAAAAAGAGTTAAAACTATATCATTAGAAAACATTGTAAACCTATATCCTTTAATTTGATTTTTACCTCTTTCAAAATGTATGTTTTCACTTAAGAATCTTCTTCCAGTAGAGTTCAAATCATTTGTTGTTTATAAATTTGTATGCGAAAAAAAGTCAAAAATACACACATATACAAACATCTCTATGCAAACAATAATTGTTTTTATAATTATAATCATGACTTTTGATATTGAATTCTGTCTCCATTAAATTCAAGCCTAAAGTTAAGGAAAGTTTGTTTATTGAATGGAAAGTTTGTTTATTGAATGGAAAGTTTGTTTATTGAATGGAAAGTTTGTTTATTGAATGGAAAGTTTGTTTATTGAATGGAAAGTTTGTTTATTGAATGGAAAGTTTGTTTATTGAATGGAAAGTTTGTTTATTGAATGGAAAGTTTGTTTATTGAATGGAAAGTTTGTTTATTGAATGGAAAGTTTGTTTATTGAATGGAAAGTTTGTTTATTGAATAGAAAGTTTGTTTATTGAATGGAAAGTTTGTTTATTGAATGGAAAGTTTGTTTATTGAATGGAAAGTTTGTTTATTGAATGGAAAGTTTGTTTATTGAATGGAAAGTTTGTTTATTGAATAGAAAGTTTGTTTATTGAATGGAAAGTTTGTTTATTGAATGGAAAGTTTGTTTATTGAATGGAAAGTTTGTTTATTGAATGGAAAGTTTGTTTATTGAATGGAAAGTTTGTTTATTGAATGGAAAGTTTGTTTATTGAATAGAAAGTTTGTTTATTGAATGGAAAGTTTGTTTATTGAATGGAAAGTTTGTTTATTGAATGGAAAGTTTGTTTATTGAATGGAAAGTTTGTTTATTGAATAGAAAAATCTGAACAGTTGAATCATTATAAGTTTTTTTTTTTACATAAAAGTTTTTACTTTATAAGTTATTTACCTTTTGTTATATATAAAATATCATTATTGTATTTTTCGCTATTGTCTATTCTGTTTTATTAAAAAAAAAGGTAAAAAAAAAATTTATTATATTTTGTTACAATGAAATATTTGTATATAAAATTAAATGCATTTTAAAACCTAACTGAAGATGACTAGAAACTAATCGAAACATATATTGTTTGTTCTATTTGTTAAAAATGCAGTTTTTATTAATAAATAGAAAAAATTAGAAATAATATCTTTAAAACTTCCAGGCTCAATAAGCAGCTTGTTAGCTTATAATGAGAGTATAAAATCACACTCATTCAAAAGTTTGGGAGGGAGAAAATGATAAGTTGTTAAATTAATTTTTTTTTTTTAATATTTTGATTAAAATTTTTAGTGAAGATAAAACTTGATTAATCAAATTCTGTCCTTCCTTCAATTAACAAAACGCTGATATAAAATGTTAGCATTACATCACTTGCTTTAACGTAAAATGCGTTTTTTGGTCTCGCACTAACATAGTTAACAAACAGTTTGAAGTTGTTACAGCTAATTTTGCAAATGGAATGTTTATCATTTTAACCAAGCGCACCTAGAAACACAATTTGAATTGAAACTGGCGCAAATGAAATGCAAATAAAAATTATTACACAAACACAATGTGAATAAAGAATTACTATAAGGAAATTAAAACTTCAAAATGTTTTTTATTTTGTAAAAACGTCAATTAAACTTTTATTTAATTTATTGTTTTTAATATTCAACACATCATTTATAATAAAATAAATATTCATAATAGAAACTTTTCAAATTCCTTTTTATATATATAGTATACTATAGATTTAAGAGGTTTTTATTTACATCTACTTGTAACTTAAAATATATATGTGTACCTTAAAATGCTGGTAATTGAAATTTAGTCTCTTATGTTTTTAAATCAATTGGAATAAGGTTTATATATATATAAAATATTTATTTATATATATAATTTTTATATATGTAAAATAACCAAGGCATATGAGAGTATAATTTAAAACAGTAAGTCCATTCATTGTCAAGTATACTCTGACAACTAATTCTGTATTTGTTTTAAAAATTGGAACACATTTTCACATAAAATATAAAATCTACATTTAAAACAAAGAATTAAGTTATAAAGTCCAAATATGGCAATGATCAGTAGTAGAAGGACTACTGTTACAACTGAAATTTAAAATTTAAATCCTATTGTTGTTCTATTGTTGTTCTATTGTTGTTCTATTGTTGTTCTATTGTTGTTCTAGATCAAAAACACTAGGCCTACACTTTAAAGCTTTCTGAAACTTGTAAAATATCTTCTTTGTCATATTTAATTTTATAAATTATTGAATAAATAACAAATAAATTTTAAATAAAGAAATAAAACACAATTTTAATCAGAAAAAGAAATGAAAAATTTTATAAAAAATAAATAAATAAAAAATGTTGATATTCAAGATCGAGTCAGAGGCTTCTATTTTTTGATTTAATACCATCAATTTTGCAAAATTGCTTCATACAAACTGATGTTAAAACATTGTTTAAAATAGAGCACTGCTTGTAGCCATTACACAACACCTTTACATTAGCATAGATCTTTGCATTTGATAAATTATTCTTTTGTTATTGCATGATTTTTTTTATTTACCTGCTTTTCAATTTTTTGCTTTTTCTTTTTTTCTTTTTCAGTTACTGCTTCTTTTTCCCCTCCATTGATCCATGTTGTTGGATTATTTTTATGGTTTTTTTTTAAAAGTGTCTTTTGTAGTCAGCATTCAATCAAATAGCAAATCTAGAACATCTTTTGAATTTGCTACTTTAGTAGTGGATTTGCTACTTTAGTAGTGGAGATTTGCTACTTTAGTAGTGGAGATTTGCTACTTTAGTAGTGGAGATTTGCTACTTTAGTAGTGGAGATTTGCTACTTTAGTAGTGGAGATTTGCTACTTTAGTAGTGGAGATTTGCTACTTTAGTAGTGGAGATTTGCTACTTTAGTAGTGGAGATTTAGTAAGATCATAACTCTATATGCATTTTCAAGTTTTTTTTTTTTGTAATTATCACAAGAACCTCTTCTAACTCTGTTAGGTGGTGAAGATATCAGGACTTTTTTTAAAGGGCGTCTTAGGGTCTGAGAAGATTGAATAATTGCTATACATCTTTCTACTTGATTAAATTTATCATTTCGCATTCAGTTAACATTAAGTCCTGACTCTGCAATACCAATCACTTGTATTAGGTGACAGCTTGCAGTATAAAAGATGACTAGGTGACAGCTTGCAGTATAAAAGATAATTTTTCAAGTTTTTATTAGAATGCATATAAAGTATTGTAAGCAAAAAAATAAAAGCAGATGTCTACAAGGTATTACAAAAAAGAAAAAGTGTCCACAGTCATTTTACATATAATATAGTAAAGAATATGTTCTGTAAAGAATATGTTCTGTAAAGAATATATTTAAAATGACTGTGGACACTTTTTCTTTTTTGTAATACCTTCTAGACATCTGCTTTTATTTTTTTGCATGCAATATTTTTGCATTCTTGTCATCCTTTGTCAAAATTGAAATATGGCTTTGATTTTCACCCATTTTAGCACCATCTAAAATGCAATTTATAGTTCTAAAACCAATATTATATCCACCTTGTTTAACCTCAGCAGTTGTTTTTTTATTCTTTTTATAATAATTTACAGCATTTGCTAAAATATTTTTGTTTAATTCTATTTTGCTCTGTAAGAAGCAACTTGATATTTTGTTTTGGGTCTGAGATTGAACTTTGGTCTCATATTTATATTCAACTGTAAAACTGTATTTCTTTAAAAATTCTTACCTTCATTTTAAAGTATAAAAAACTTACATTTCATAATGTACAGTATTTTTTTTTTCATAATTTTTAGGTTTTCAGTACAGCTGAAAATCTGAACATTTATACACTATCTATTTACATAAATTTAACATAAAACAGTTTAAAAATTATCACACAAATTTACAATAGAAACAAAAAAGTTGTTCCAAAATTATTGCCATAAAATAAAATCTACATTTAAAGGATTACATGGTGAAATAATTTGTTCAGGCTTTATTTTATGGAGCTGTTGTTGTGGAGCTTTGTTTTTTGGATTTGTTGTTGTGGAGTTGTTGTTGTGGAGCTTTGTTGTTGTGGAGCTGTTATTGTGAAGCTATTGTTGTGGAGTTGTTGTTGTGGAGCTTTGTTGTTGTGGAGCTGTTATTGTGAAGCTATTGTTGTGGAGTTGTTGTTGTGGAGCTTTGTTGTTGTGGAGCTGTTATTGTGAAGCTATTGTTGTGGAGTTGTTGTTGTGGAGCTTTGTTGTTGATTCATTAAAGAGTATAAGTGCCCCAAGAGAATTTAAATGACTGTGAGGTAAGTTACGAATTCTGTACATGAGCTTTCAGCAATTGTGACAAAAAGAATTTATATTCAAAAAATTACTTACATTTTAAGGTACAAATACCTGTATCTTAGATTAAATAACAATTGAATAAATAACAATGAAATAGAAACTCACAAATTAGCAAAAGAATTTTTAATTAAATTTCTTGCATTATAATATTCTTTCAATTTTTCAACGATAAAAAAAAAGTGAATTTAAACATGAACTTATTTTAACCATTTCTTAATTAAGTTAACAGCATAATATTATTGAATAAATATATATCAAAAAAACAAAAGCAAAAAATCAAATTATTATTCAGTGCTAAATCAATTAGAGCTTCTGTAGCTAGAACAATTACATTTTTGTTTGATTGAATTTTTGTTAAAATTGTTATAATTATATGTTTTGTTCAAACAGTTTAAAAAAAACACAACAGTAAATAGCAGGCTTGGTCGGGAAGCGGGTGCGATCGCACTCGATAATTGACCATGGAAATTATATTTACTTGCGAAAAGCCGGCCAGATTTTTCAGGCGTTTTGAGAACATTTCAGTTTATGTATGTTTCCTTGTTTGTCCACAAAATAATAAGTTTATTTTATCGTAAATTTTAAAAGATTTTGTTTTACGGACGTACATGGAAACTTATATAAACTTGAATGTTGTCGAACATCTTAGTGCGGAAAAATAAATAAAGAATATTCGCGAACACAAAAAACCCGCCAAATTTACGAACAACTAATTCTATTGGTTCAATTAATAAATAACTGAAATTACTAAAGAATTCAAGTGACTGTTCTAGAGTATTCTGTTGAATTATTTTTCAAAATTTTTTTGTTTTTGTTTTTGTTATGTTTTCGTTGAGAATTCTAGCATCAATTGTTTAACGAACAATTATTTTAATACAATGGCTCATTCTTGGAGTCACATCCATAAAGCTATAAATGTTTTAAACTAACATTTGTTTACAAAAAAAAATGTTTTAAATTTATATTTTAAAACTTGTCAACGTTTTGTAAATATATTATAGATTTCATTAGTATAATCTTATTTTTTATATATAAGGGATGTATTTATATGTATGTAATGTATTAGAAATTGGTTTATTAACTTAAATTATTTTTGCTTCAGCCATTCTTACAAACTCCTTATACTTACACTTAAAGTTGTTTTTTTTCTGTAAAATTCTAGTTAAAGATATAAAGCCCACTCACTAAACATCATCAGCGATATTGTTAAGCAGTTCCGCTTCCTCCTTACAAAGTAATTTAACGTTTTTAGTTAATTTCTATCTAGCTAATTAAATTTCCACAGTAACTCAATGATTTAGTTATTTCATTTGTTCATCTTACTAAGAAGAATTGTTTCAAATATGTTAAACTTTTCAAACTACGCGAAGCATAAAACAGGTACTGAAAAAACTTTTTTTATTTATAATTAAATTATGTAGCGTTAGTTTTATTGGTTTAATCTTGTTGGACTTTACAGGGCTGGTAGCTGCATAATTATGGTGGCCTTTTTTATGTGCGATAGCGTAATAATGACTTAAAAATACCGATAGGTCCTCTTGACTATTTCTCTGCCCATAACATTGTGTGTCCCGGGACTATAGCTCTTCTACCACCACCCCCCACCTCTTATTTCCAGCACTGGAAATAAGACATAAGTATATAAATAAAAATTATATATAATCTTTGATAAATTGAAGAACATTTGTTTCTTTATTAAACAATCATTATTAGTACGTTGTTACTATATACAAAAAATGTCGCTTTTTTTTTAAAAAAAAAATTATAAAAGAGCGACGTTTCAAAAATATTTGCTCTAATCGTATTTATTTTGCTTAAAGTTTTGCGTTAAAAGCTATTTTTCTTTTTTTTAACTGTCTCTCATCGGTCCAGTTTATCTTATTGCGCTTTTTTGTTTGTTTTTGAAATGTTCTCAAAACGCCTAAAAAATCTGGCCGGCTTTTCGCAACTAAATATAATTTTCGTGGTCAAATATCGAGTGTGATCGCACCCGCTTCCCGACCAAGCCTGAAATAGCTAATAATAGTAAGAAAAAAAAAAAATTAGTTAAAAAAATTAAAAAATATATAGTTAAAAAAAACAAAACCTTGTTTAAATAGTTGATAAAATAAAATAAATAATGTGAAAAAACCAAAATTAGTGTAAAATAAATATTGTAAAAAAATCATGATGAGGTGCAAACAATTTAGAAGTTAGGAAGTATAAAGAGCTACTAGGAAGTTAGGAAGTATAAAAACTTTTTTGACGTTGTGTCATAAATATGCTGTAGTAGATAATAATTCAAAATATTTGTCTATAAAAGAACTTTGTATAACAAATAGAACATTTTATGAACACAGTCTTCACTAATTTCTAAATCTCATTGTCATATATGATTACTAAAAATGATTGTTAAAACATAACTTAACACTTTTAGTTGCGATTTGCTTCCACAAGCAATTATGCAGTTAATTTACAAACATTGTTAAGCATGATGGTGGTGCAGTCTACTGGATATCCTTCTGGTAATCATGGTATGTTTTTTAAATATCGTGTTGAAGCTGTAACTTTACGCAGTGTTCATGATAGAAAGATATCGGATGTAAGGTATCATATTGGATTTGAATCCTTGGGAAGGTATATAAATTTTTTTTTTGTCATTCTGTGCTTTTTTTTTTTAAGCAGGTTTCTAAAATATTAAAAAATATTTTTAAAATAGGTTTATTGAAGGTGTTTTTCGCAGTTTTAATAACATGCTTGAACGTTTCCACCATTCTTACTTTTTGTATATTTTACCAAATGCATATCATTATATATCAATTGGGCTTTACATGCCAGCATTTGGTTGCCTAATGCTTCCCATAGTACTAACTCTCCTTGTAACATGGATTAAACTTTTTAAACTAGACATACCAGAAGAGAATAGAGATATATCAGTAAGTAATAAAATAACAAAAACAATTTTTTAATTTGATAATTTGAAATTTTTATCTGTGATACTGAAAGAGTTTAAATAATTACAATTTAATTTATTTTACGTTAAAGGAATTATGTTTTGTCTTGTACACATCAGCATGTTTGCATTCAATGCATTTCATACAACATGATTACACTTGTAGTTACAAGCAAGATGATTGCACTCTGTGATTGCATTAAACCTGATTGGACTCAGTGAGTGATTTTTCGAAGAATTGATTTATTTTTAGAAACTTCAAACTTTTTTTTTTGTTAGGAAGTTCGTGTTAATGCATCAGTTCTCTGCCAGATTTTTATGACATATTTAATGTCTGTATCTACTTACTACATTTCACTTTGGTTGATTAGTGAAGCTTTGCACTTCAAATTGGAAGTATTATTTATTCTTTCTTCTTTGATCGTGTTTTTGCACCTTTTTTTTTGCAGGTAAAACTTATCAATCATAAAACTTATCAAATTTATTGCATTGTTTTTATTTGTTCAACATTATATATATATATATATATATATATATATATATATATATATATATATATATATATATATATATATATATATAACATATATATATATATATATATATATATATATATATATATATATATATATATATATATATATATATATAACATATATATAACATATATATATATATATATATATATATATATATATATATATATATATATAACATATATATAACATATATATAACATATATATAACATATATATAACATATATATAACATATATATATATATATATATATATATATATATATATATATATATATATATATATATATATATATATATATATATAATATAAAAATAAAAATCTGTAAACTAATTTAAATATCTAAACATGATTACATTTATCAACTATAAATGTTTGTCAAACCAAAATAACAAAAGGTGACTAGAGAGATAATTTCAAAAACTTTTTTATGTTTAATTAAATCTTTCTATATTTAGTATAGTTTTAGAACTATATTTAAATAGTGGACAAAATAAAAGTGTTTAGTTAAGCATATTGAAATTATCAAACATGTTATTTTATTTAAAAAATGAACACAAAGAGGAAGAAAATACAATAAATACATTCATAGAGTCAATTGAAAAAACTTATCTATAAAGTAGACTTGAAAAAGTTATAAATTGTTTCAATAATTATTGCTATACATAACTGCTTACAAAATTACCGTGTTTTTTTTTCAATTTTGATTCACTCCCAACAAGACTGCAAGCATTTACTATTAAATTTGGGAGTTACTATAATAAAAGAATAGAGTTATAAAGCAAGGAAATGGTTGACAGAAGACTAAAAAAGTTGAAGTTTGTATGAGTCAGGAAAACACGAAAACGGGAGAGAGTTCCAAAGGGTTAAAGTGCTGGGAAAAAGCTAAGCGAAGCGTGCAGGGACATATACAGTAAAGAAATGAGATTTTAATGAATGACAAAACAAGCAAGAATGAGTTTTAATTAATGGAACTAGAGATGATAGCTCCTTTGAGCAGTGACCATGATAGTATTTGTAAAAAAGAGAAAGAGATGCAACTTTAAGACCATGGGAAAGAGGCTCAAGCTTAGCAGATAGACCGGGTCCACCTACACTTACAATGCGTTTTTGGACTTTGTCTAGAAGAGAAAGAGCATCATCAGAAGAATCAGCCCAAATATGACAACAGTATTTCATACAGGGACGAATAAGAGATTTTTAGAGGTAGAGAATGGAAATAGGAGAGAAAAAATGGTTAGCACTATAGATAAGCAACCTTAGCAGATGTTAATTTAGCAATTGATTGTATATATAGTTTCCATGAAAGAACAGTAGTAAATGATAGTCCAAAAAGACATAAAGAAACTCAGTTAGAGGGTTGCCATTCATCAATATAGGAATGTAGGCAGTGCTGGGATAGTTGTTTGCAGTAAATAACTGAGTTTTGTTGTTAAAATTTACAAGCCACTATGAGCCCCAATCTGTTACAGAAATGAGATTAGATTCAAGATCAGCTGCATGTTCTAAGCGATCAAAAAGAGAAGACTTTTTGTCAAGACAGGAGTATAAATTGAGTCACCAGTAAAAAGAGCTAGTTTAGATGTAAGGTTGTTGGGAAGATCATTAATGTAGATAAGAAACACAATAGTACCAAGGATAGAACTTTAAGGTACCCCAGAAGTTACTGGAAATAAAGAAGAGTATTGGCCTTCAAGGATGACTTTAATAAAGCGATTAGCAAGAAACGATTTGAAAATCTCAAAAACTTTCCCAGATACACCATATGAAATATGCTTATGGAGAAGACTATCATGCCAAACTTTGTTGAATGTTAAGAGCAATAGTCCTAACCTTTCTGCCTCCTGCATAATAAAATCTTTCAGTCACAGCAGTTAACAAGTCATTGGAAACTTTTATGGTGGAAACGTTCAAGCATGTTGTTAAAACTGCGAAAAACACCTTCAATAAACCTATTTTAAAAATATTTTTTAATATTTTAGAAACCTGCTTTAAAAAAAAAGCACAGAATGACAAAAAAAAATTTATATACCTTCCCAAGGATTCAAATATTCTGCCTTTCTGCATAATAAAATCTTTCAGTCACAGCAGTTAACAAGTCAGCCATAGAGCAAAATAATCAAAAATTGTCTGATATTGATTGTCTAACATCAAGTTATTAGAATCAAGATGGAATGTGAGAAATTTGTTTATCAAAGACTCAAAGACCTTGCTGATAACAGAAAAAAGACAGATTAAATGATAACTGGAGGGGTTCAAGTGTTCACCAGAGTTTTTGAAAATTGGAACAACAGATGCCATTTTCCAGCAGGCAGATGAACAAGACTCAAGGACTTATTAAATAGTTTAGAGAAAAAGAGAGTTCTGGAGAACAATTTTGTAAGACTGTGACAGGAATGTTGTCTGGACCATAAGCCGTAGAAGAGTTTAATCGAGATATGACTTTAGAAACATAAACTATAGTGATTTGAATGTCTAACAATGAACAATGTGTTAACCTTTTTAATTAGAACAGAAGGAAGAGAATGGTCATAAGGTTCAAGAGTCGAATTAGAAGAAAAGTTTTTTGCAGTTAGTTCAGCCTTATCCTTGGGAGAGGTAATAAGATCAGTGAATGACAGATGAAATGTTAAACCTTCCTTTGTTAACAACACTGAAAATTTACAAAAAATCTCAAGAGCCTAACGTCTGAGATAAGATACGAGAACTGAGAATAATGGAGCATCTGACAGCACCTTTTTACTTTGATTTCTTGCGATAATAAATAACTGTTTGTAATAAAAAGATTTGGATTAGATATAGTAGCTGCACAAGACTGTGAAAACCAAGAGGCTTGACTTAGAACCAACGAAAAGGAATAAAAGCAGCCATTCCTGCCTGAATCCAGGAGGTTATGTGAGAGGCATATTTATCAGCTGAGAGGGAATAGTCATCAGCCCAAGGACCTTCACAAAAAAAGTCACGAAAAGAATCTCAGTCAGCTTTAGGTTAGTAGTAAGTAGTATAATGATAGGGTGAGTCTGAAAATGAAGTACAAGATGAAAGATTTAAAGAGATTATTGCATGGTCAGAACCACCTAAGAGAGAAAAAGGAGAAATGGAGCCGAGGTAAATGATTAGGGTTGTCAGGAAAATGAGTCACAAAGTTATCTGAGTAAGAAATTGAAAAATGCAATAGTTATAGGCTTTAGTGCCAGCTGGATTAGTGGCATTAGAGCCAAGCCATTCAGTGTGATGAGCATTAAAGTCACCAATAACAATATTGGCAGAGGGGTAAAGAGAGAGATCATTATCAATTTGATCAGAAATAACAACTAAAAGAGTGCAGCCTTGGGAAGAAATAGAACCATAAATAAGAGAAAGGTGATTGAGTGAATATGTGCTAAGCGGAAGCACATATAGGAATGGTCAAAGGATTCGAACCTGATTTTGCGACAAATAGGTGAATTGATGCATATGTATACCCCTAGCCAACCATGTCACTATTCGAGCGAATCAAAGGATTATACCCATCAAAACTTAGATTAGAAGAAGGAATAGAATTTAAATTAGTCTTAAAATAGCAAGCAAGTCTGGTGAATTTTGGAAGATTTTAATATTTTGGTTTACTTTTGGCTTTAAGTTTAAAGAGAACTTGATAATCAGCTATGCAATTTTCTCAGTCCTGTTAATTAATTCTAGGTCATAACATAGGGCTCCTTATGTGGCCTCAACTATGTGCACCAAAACCATTATTAGGGATTTATTCGCAACATGGCACTGTTAAAACTCTGACATTTTTCAGCTGTTGATAGAATCAACCTCTCTAAGAGCTACCACAGAGTTTGGGAAACTTTACTACAAACCGGCATCATAACCATTAAACTGCATTTTAGAGTTGTACCCTTATTATGAGATAACAGGAAGAGTTGCATAGCCACTATCTAGGAGGCACAAGCAATAATCTATGAGAAAAGTCAAGATCTAGCATTAATCATCCTAGGCAGGAAACAATGTAACACAAGTTTACATATATGCAGCCTAATAGATAAAGAAGTTGTTTAAGTCAAAGTTTGTTTCTCTTACCCTTTGCCTAAAAAAGCACTCTACACGGCAGCATGGGTGTATAGGGCAGGTAGTACTGGGTTACATAATATCATTAGCAGGGTGATTGTGATGATCCTAAACCTGACCTGATCTGGAGTAATTAAAAGGAGCTACTTTCTGCAAACAGTACCTTAAAACATAGGACATGATATTTTGGAAATGCGTTAGGAAAAATATTAAACCTAAAAAAATACTAGAGATAAGGGTTAAATAGTTTAATAGTTGGAGTGCCTAGTTAATTAATGAGCTCACACTGCATCAAAACAGATTTAAACATATAAACAGAATATTTAAACAGAACACATACACACATAAAGTATTATACGAGTAAACACTGTGCCAGATGTTCAAACAGAATACAAACATAGATATAAACATTACCATAGACAGAACGCAAAGACATAAACTAAGGCACCTCAAACTATGAGACACAAAGAAAAATAATAATATTTATGTATATATTACTAAAGGCATGACTGATTTTAAATAGTACTGATAACAGGAACCAAACACCTTCCAGCCTTTGCTTAGAAAGCGAATCCCACAAAACAGCAGGACAGGGAACAGGTTGCACTGGGCTACATGTTAACAGTAACAGGGTGATCATGAAGACCATGTACCTGACCTGACACCACATTTTGATAAATATTATTATTATTATATATATATAAAAATATATATATATATATATATATATATAATAATATTTATATATATATATAGATATATATTTATATATTTTTATATATTTTTATATATATATATTATATATATATATATATATATATATATATATATATATATATATATATATATATATATATATATATATATATATATATATATATATATATATATATATATATATATATATATTGGTGTTTGAGAAAGCTGACTTGCTGACATAAAGCAAACACCAAAAATTTATATGTTCATACTTGCTAAAAATTGTAATAATTGGATTCTGGGAACAAAAAAGCCCTAAATTTTTGACCACAACTGCCCCAAATATGAGAGTAACAAGTTTATAAAAAATTTTTTTACTATTCGTAATTAAAGTTATATTCAAATATAAATTTTAAATTTCATGCAATTATCTCTTATCATTTAAAAGTTATCATACAAAATTTGTAACCCTCTCAATATGAGGAGGATTTAAACTTTATATGGTCATAATTTTTGAATGCTGATAGTTTATAATATAAAATTTGAAATTTATATATGAATATAACTTTAGTTAAGAATAATAAAAAAAAATGTTTATCAACTTGTTTGTCTCATGTTTGGGGCAGTTGTGGCCAAAATTTTTGGGTTTTTCGATTCCCAGGCTATTAATTTTTGTGCAAATTATGGTTAACCAAGTCTGACCCTGTTGGTTTGTTTAAAGTAGATAATTATGTAGTTGTAATTTTCTCACTTTGGTAGTGAAAAGGCCAGAACAGCTTGAGTGAAATCACTTACCATTCGTCCAAAGACTGTGAATTTTGGGTTTAACGCAAGGCGACCTAATTCAACAGTTTAAGATTACTTGAAAATTTGATGAGGTCCATTTTCACATGCCATGGACTTAGCTAAATTGATTTACAATCTTTGAGATCACAGCCAATGCCTTGATAAACAAAGAGTAAATCATTGTATTAAAAGTATTAAAAGAGAAAGTTTTTTACAAATCGAATTATATGTCACTGGAACGCTCTCCCACAAAAGACCATCAATGGGCAAAGTGCCAACTGCTTCAAAATTTTTTCATTTAACTATAGATGCTTTGTATGCAGCACAAGACAGTCAGAACAGCGGAGCCTGGTGCTGTCCCTCTTCATAGATCATTTTATTTTTTATTTTTGGCTTTAATTTTTTGTTGTAATTTTTTGATCGATTACTGAATGAGCTAAACTAAAGCTAAAACTAAACTAAACTAAATTTGAAACTTTTTGTTCAAAATGTTTTACCTGGAGTTACTGTCAACAAGTGTTAGCCACTGGTGACCTGACTGAGTTATATGATACTTTGAGGTGATCGTTCCCATGTGGCAATAAATGATGATGCAATTTGCTCTGCTTTGATTGAATCATATAACACCAAAGTTTATATAAACCTCAACCAATAATTAATAAAAACTTTTTTCATTCTGTTGTGTAAATGTTGTTCTTGAACTTGACAATGATCATATGTTTTTTGTTTGTCATTCATTGGATAATGATCTTGAATACAATGATATTGAATGACTTGATGAATGTTTTTTGTTTGTCATTCATTGGATTTTTTTTCACTGAAATTTTTCAGGTCATAGTATTTTGAGTAGTTTGCTTAACATGATTTGACTCAAAATTAAACAACTCAGACAATAAAACCTTTTTGTCACCTTGATTCAATTTTTCGAACAATTTTCTGCAGTTATCACAAACTCCTCTTGGAACATTTTTTTTATTAAAATTAATAAGTTTGTTACGTCTTTCAATATAAATGTTGTAAGTTCTCTTTTATATTTTTGTAAACATAGAAATGTACAGTTTTGCGACAATCCTTGTGATTTTTGCTTTAAAACCGATTATTCTCCTCGGCCAAATTCAAAGGATTTTCATATTTTGACAAGTTAATCTTCTATATGTACAAAATCTTCCCTCCAAATGTTTTTTTTTTGGACCCGTTGTAAGCAATTGTAAGCGTTGTAAGAATAAACCTGAAATTTTATAAACCATGTTTTTTTTAAAAAAAATAATTTGCAATCATGGAAAAAGTTTAAAAACTTATATAAATATTCTTTTTAAATTGATGTATTGCCTGCCCAAACCAAAAACCTTTAGTTAATGTTAGGGTACTCCTCGCATGTTCTACATATTTATCAGTTGATTTAGCAGCACTCCTCACATGTTCTACCTATTTTCCAGTTAATGTAGCATCACTCCTCGCATGTTTTAACTATTTGTCAGACGATGTAATAAAAATAAAAAATCTTATATATATATATATATATATATATATATATATATATATATATATATATATATATATATATATATATATATATATATATATATATATATTAAATATATATATATATATATATATATATATTAAATATATATATATATATATTAAATATATATATATATATTAAATATATATAATATATATATATCCGTGGAAGCAAAATTGTCAATATAAGGAAACTACAAGCCCCTTGACCGCATTACGTGTTTATATATGAATGCAACTTCCCTAAATAATAAAATGGAGGAGTTTAAGGTATTATGTAGTGATGTAAATCCATGTATTATTGGAGTAACGGAAACTTGGTTCAGAAAGACTGCGATTGCAAATTTAAAAAGTTACTTTTTGTTTAGAAATGATCGTAGAGATGGTAGAATTGGTGGTGGTGTTGTAATATGCATTGTGTGTGGTTATAAGAAAGCAAATTTCGTTGCAATTAATAGGTTGTTTTCCAATCCAGATTGGTTAACATGTTTTAATGGCAAATCAGTTCAAGAAGTGTATAATATATTTATATTTTATATGAATGCAGCGTATAAACTATACATTCCAATTAAAAAATTAGATATTAATAAAAAAAAGCAAAATTTTGGATAAACAATGATATTAAAAAATTTATAAAATTAATCAAAAAGATTTTGCAACTGTTCCTTAGGGTGGAAAGTTTCTTCTCTTGTGAATGAATACAAAAAAGTCTGCAAGATAGTCAAAAACAAATTAAGGAAAGCTAGACAAAATTATGAAAAAACCTAGTGATGTCCGCTAAGAAAAATCCAAAATTTACAAATATTTGAATAGTCAACAACAGATCAATATATCGATAAAAGCTTTAATGAAAGATTACATAATGAAAATGAAAGATTACATAATAAAAATGGAATAGTGACAAATGACCCAAATCAGATTGTAAGTTTACTAAATAACAAGTTCCAAAATGTATTTGTTGGTGAGAATGACTTTAATTTGCCAGCATTTGCATTTGGATTAAATAAAAATTAATGTGATGTGGAGCAGATCTTATTAAACTTTTAATCTTAAAAAATTGCATATGGAACAACTCTACCACTTGCACATATATTTACAGCTTCCATTCTGCTTAATGAACTACCTGTTCAGTGGAAATCAGCCGATATTTGTCCTCAATTTAAAAAAGTAAGTAAGCTGTCATCGTTGAATTATTATCTAATTTCACTTACTTTTGTACCTTGTAAAATTCTAGAAGGGATTGTGCGAGATTTAATTATGAATTTTCTAAATGCAAATAATCTTTTTTAGAAAAGATCTTGTTCAACCAATTTTATTAAGACATAAGATGCAATCTGATATTATTCATCTCAGAATATACCTGTAGATGTAATTTACTTAGACTTCGCAAAGGCATTTGATTCAGTGCCCCATAAAAGACTACTGATAAAAGACTACTGATAAAACTTAAATGTTATGGGATTTCTGGTAATTTGTTAAAATGGATTGAAGCATTTCAATCCATTTACAAGCATTGCAATCCATTAACAAATTACCATTTTACATTTGAGAAGTGTTTGATAATGTACTTTGGTAAAATAACCCAAAAAGAACTTATTTTATGCAAAATATACCTTTAAGTACCACTGTCGCTGAAAAAAGTCTCAGTGTAGAATTTACCTTTGACTTGAAATAGAAAAATCAAATAACTCTATGTGCAAGTAAAGCAAATAAAGTTTTGGTTATGTTAAGGAATACATTTTTAAGTTTAAATAGTGAATTACTAAAAATCATATACACAACTTTTGTAAGATCGTTAATTGAATTTGCTGTATCTGTCTGATCACCATGTCGAAAAATTAAAATTAATCTCTTAGAAAAGGTACAGCATCGTGCTACAAGAATGATATCACCACTAAAAACTATGTTATGAGAAAAGATAAAAATTACTCACTACTCTAGTTATAAGTCTCACTACTTTAGTTATAAGATTTGGATTTGATTCAAATGTTTAAGTTAATCAATGGAATTGAAAAATTCAAATCAATCAATTTAATAATTATAAACTAAAACAAAAACTCTAAGCATTTAAACTTTGTACATGAGAAATTAAAACAAAATTAGTTATATTTTTTATGAATATTATCTCCAAGTATTCACTCTTAAAAACTTTTTATATTAACTTTAAAACACCATCCAATTATGCACCACTCTTTATGTTAACTTTTAAAAACCATCCAATCATGCACCACTAATTGATACACCCTCTTTTATTTCCAAAAATTTGAAATTATGTTAGTTGAGTATTATTTTATTCTATTATTAAAATTTTTTATATTTTAATTTTTCATTATGTATTTTGTAATGGTTTTTTTTAGGGTTGTTTGTCGTGGTAACGAAGTTGATTTTCTAATATTATATTTTTTTTCAACTATCCAATTGGCTGTTGCAATAACTGTTCTCTCTCTTTTAAATTTTTCTGCAGCTTATATTATAGGCATTTTCTATGTGGTTTTATGCTTGCTTCCATATTACAAAACGAGGTAAGAATTTTTACTTTTTTTTTTTATTTTACTATGTTTGAAGTTTTTGTTTATTGTTATTTTGCTAACAGAACAGTGTCAATGATATTCTCACAAAAGTTGGTTTTAGAAAAGGGTTAATGGGGATGCATAAGTTTAAAAAATAACCTGTAAAAATTTTAAATATATCATCATCTCTTAATGCAAACAAAAACGTAAACAAACCGTTAGAAAAGCATTAAAATTATTGTAATGTAATGAGTTCAGCAAACGTGATAAACAAATTTAGATTTGTTTAAAAAACAAGACGAAAAACAAAAGGCCGTTATAGTTTTCTAGTCTTTTGTGTCAAATAAAAATGATAAGAATTTTTATGAATACTGACGCTGAGATACAAATTCGTTTTTTTTATTCAGTAGGTTTTTACCATTGTGATAAAACTACATATTTTTCGTAGAGACAGAGGTGGCATATTTTCGTTCTTAGATTTGTAACGTTTGATAATTTTCCATTTTATAATAGGCTTTTTTCTTTTAAGCTCCATATTTCCTTAGAGAATTCTGTGTCCTTTCTATACTTAACTGATGCGAATGATTTAAGATGGTTTGCGTATCTTAATTTAAGTGGTTTATAATTAATGCCAAAATATACTTTTTTATCACGTTCACGATCACTTGTACTTACGGTTGCTTGGTAAACAATATTGTTAGACAAACACTGGTTGTTAATTACCTCGATATTAGGTTAAATCTAAATAACAATACGTTTCAACCATATTATAAACCTGATAATCAATTTAGGTACATCCGCTATAATTCTAACCACCTTCCAAGCAAAATAAAAGCAATCCCTCTCAATATTAAACAAAAATTATCATCCATGTCAATTAATAAAAATGTCTTTAAAAAATCTATTCCACTGTATGAAAATGCTTAAAAAAAAAATCGGGATGCAAGACAAAGCTTACCTACCGAACACAAAATCCATTCAGTAGAAGTTCTGAAAAATCTAATAAAATTAAATACCCTACCAAGATTTAACTTCGATTTTAGTTTATTTAGTTTGAAGTATCCGGAACAAATAAAAGTTTTATTGAAATCAAAAAATATCAATATATTATAAACTTTTAATTAATTAGATTTTCATATTAAGTCATATTTATGCGAATTCTTTCTACATTTCTAAATTGTTTACATTATTTATAGATATTTTATATGTTTTTAGGTTGGCGAAATAGTAACAAACACTTATTTAAAAAAAAAAAAAATTTTTAATTCCGTAACTAATAAACAAAAATATATTTACCATTAATAAAAAAAACCATCAGGTTTCTACCCAATGCACTTAGTTCATTGCATTCATTTTTTTCCTATTTTTTTATATATTAGGCTCATGTTTTTTTTATTATTATTATTGCTGTATTCACCTCACGTAAATATATAAAAAAAAAACCTGATGGGATCGAACTCGGAACTTTTTGACTCTTCTCTTCAGTTGTTCCATGTAAATATGTTAAACCATATTAACTTAAGTAAAATTAAATCATCCGTTAGGCAGCGGTTAAAGCGTTTGCTTCAACATCTAGAGGTCCGAGTTTCGATACTTGCTCTGTCTACATCTGCGCCATTAGTAAGAAAGGAAGCGTGAACTTCATAGTTTAATGTGTGCTCTGTGATAAAACCGGACTTTTTGAAGCACCTCAATAACCATATTTACAACAACAAAGTTACCAAACATTTCTAATAAAAGATAATTTTTTGACATGAGATTACCAAACATTTCTAATTAGAGATAATCTTTTGACAGGGAGTTGCATCAGCAAAGATGCCTAGACGTGATTAACTTTAAAGTTATATTTAGTTTGACTTTTTTTTACAGTTGTAAAGCTGTATATTTATCTGTGCATTAATGGAAAAGTTTTTTTTAATTTTAGAGTTACAAAAAGTTTACGTTTATTGTATTGCATTCTGTCATGTCCTCCTGTGATGGTGTATCTTATATGTGTTCTTCATTGCGCGTTGAAAGGTCATACAGAAACGGTGCTTTATGATGCACTTGAATTATGGAAATTAATCATTGATTATGATATCGCAAATTCTACATTACGTGTTTGGACACGAAATATTTTGTTCTATCTTCTATTGCCTTTGTGGTTTTCGTTTGCAACATTAGTCACGTGATCTTTGAGATTTTTTAGTCTTGTATTTAAAATTGTGTTTTTTTTTTTTTTTTTTTTTTTTTTTTTTTTGAAAAAAAAAATCGTTATTTGTGCTTAATCTAACAATAAAGTTTTATTCTGTTAAAGTAGTTTATTTTTATGCGAATGCCGCAGCGGCATTCGCATAAAAGTATACTACTTTAGCAGAATAAAACTTTTAATGTGATATTTTAATGTGAATATATAAATTAAAGTAAATTTTGATTATTTCTTTTTCTTGGAAGGTCTAGATAAAAGCAACACCTTCCTCTATTGATTTTAGCATTATTACTATTGTCATTAGCTAGTTTTATCTGTCCGACAATTCTCTGAGCTTAGTAATTGTAAAGCCCGATTTCCTAAAGTAAAGTGATATCAAAAAGAATACTCGAGTCTTCTCTGTTGCTGGAAAAAAAGATTTGCTTTAGAACGTATTATTCCTTTGGTTTTTTCAATTTAGTTGAAAGTTTTGCTTTAACTTTTTTTTTTTTTACCTCAGATTTAAGATTCTTAAACATTTTAACCTTGGCGGTTTTTGTAAGAACATTAAAGCAGAGATCTACAAAATAGGATGTTAGTCAACCGGTGAGAGTCATTAGGTTCTTAAAAAAAGATTTTGACAAAATAGATGCACTTTACCCTGTCGACCTGGCTTGGTGCGAGGTTCGAAGTACTCAAATCTTTTTTTTTTCTATTACTCTCACCTGTTGAATAAGAGGGGGAGGGGGTTTATTTTTATTATTTGGTTTAATTTTTTTTTAATCTTAATATAAGGATAATATTGTTCTTCTGAGTTTCTTTAAGTTGTTGTTTTTTTTTTTTCAGAAATATGACGTTTTTTTAATTTCGATCTTCCCGTTTATTAAACACCTGGAAAACACGACTCAATTGTAAACGCTCGTCGTTGTCTTAGCTTTTAGATATTTTTTTGAATAAATCTATAACAGGTCTAAATAGTTGTCCCGAACTATACCAATGCAATCGTATAGTTCCATTCGCATAGTTCGGGACAACTTTTGTAGTTTTGTGTAGTTTTTCATAAACCTTGATGGTTTGACATGCTATTCTCTTGATCTCTTAGATTAGTGAGATCATCACTGATCTTAATAACCTGTTAAATCTTGGGAGGAAGAAAATAAAACTTTAGGTAATAGAGATTTTTCCCCATGAACCTAGTTTGGGATATTGCTCCAGACTTGTAAAACTTGTACCGAGCAGGTTCACATCCCAGATCTAGATACATTATGACCAACACTGCAAACTCAAAATAGCCTCCTGTCTTCTAAATTGTCTTAAAAAAAGTAATAATAATATGTTTTTAAACTTTTAAAAAAAGTTGGTATATTGATCTTACATAATCTTTTTAAATTTACCTTATCATTTCTCAGAATATTCTTGTTTCTCAAGCTTTTGCAAACGTCTTTGTTTGTTTGTTTGTTCTTCATTACATTTTAAAATATTTCGTTAATATTTAATAAAACTTACATGCTAAAATATAATAATATAAACAATTACAAGTGAAGATTTTTAATATATGTAAATACAAAAAATAGAACACGGAAACCCGTAGAATGCAGTCAACGTTAAGGAACGTTATATTTTTATTTACTGACTCCTTCAAAAAATTACAATTTACTTTAGGTATTTTTATAGATCTATCTAAAGCCTTTGATACTATTGATGACGGCATTCTCATAAATAAATTAGAACATTACAGTATCACTGGTAAAGTCTTAATGTTATTAAAAAGTTACTTATAATCGTAAACAACTCATGCATATTGATACAATAACCTCTATAGAACTTCTGATTTAATGACAATAATGTAAGCTGACGATACTAATCTTTTCTTATCTCGAAATAACATCAATAACTTATTTAATGGCATGAATGTAGAACTAAAGAAAATATCTGACTGGTTTAAATCAAATATTTTACCTAATATTGAAAAAACTAAGTGGATTCTTTTTCATTCAGCTTAAAAAAAGTATATACTAGCAAGTGAAATGCCGCCGCTTTTCATTGATAAAATTAATATAAAAAGAGTAACTTATACTAAATTTTTAATTATTATTGTGGATGAAAATCTTTCATAAAAAAACCACATTGGAGACCTAAGTTATAAAATTGCAAAAAGTATTGGCATTCTATATAAAACAAGAAGCATTTTAAATAAACATACTTTAATTCATCTATATTACTCATTAATTCACTGCCATATTAACTATGCTAATATTGCCTGGGGTAGTACCAACAAAATGAGGTTAAAGCCTTTGCTTTGTCAACAGAAGCATGTAGCACGTCTTATTTATTTTAAAGATCGTTTTACTCATGCTAGGCCTTTATTATTTACATGAATATTCTTAATATTTACGAAGCAAATATATTTAACTTTCTTTGTTTTATGTTTAAATGTAAAATTAATGCATGTCCTGTTTCTTTGCATAATTTATATTCAATAAAAGAAAAAAATAAATATATATTAAAAATAATAAACATATCCAACAACTGATTTTTAAATTAAATATACGCAAATCTTGCATTCAATACCGTGGAGCCTTTTTATGGAACAGAGTAGTTTTAAAATATTTTGATTTTTCGCATAATTGGAATTATTTTTCTTTAAAAAGATAAACTGAAAGCAGTAATTTTTTCAATTGATAACATATTTTTATAATTTTAAATTATTACTTATTCAACAAAATAATTAAGGAATTGTAATCGGAACGACAATATTTTTAGATTACATATTATATATTACCATTACATATATACTGATGAAATTTGTAATTTTTTGAAATTTTTGTTTGCTTTTTTTGTTTGTTTGTTTTTTGTTTTTTTTTGTATAATATTAAATATTGTGAAATATTATATATATATATATATATATATATATATATATATATATATATATATATATATATATATATATATATATATATATATATATATATATATATATATATATATATATATATATATATATATATATATATATATGTATGTATATATATATATATATATATATATATATATATATTTATTGTTCTACTTCTATTAAAGTAGAACAATCAATTCTCAGATTGTTCTACTTCTATTAAAGTAGAACAATCTGAGTTTTTACGTCATCATTCAACTTGCTGAACATGAAACTACTGTCCGCAATAAGAGGAAATATGAAGTGTATAGAGTGAGAGGTACAACTTTAGCTAATAGGGTGAGAGTACAACTTTAGCTAATAAAATATTCTATTGATCATATTAAGCCTAAAAATATAACTTTTTAGTCTCTAAACTTATTAACTTGTAATTTTTTAATTACTTGATAAGAAGCCACAAATCGATATATGAGCTTGGTGCCAATCTTAAAAAGAGAGGCTACCATCTTAATAGAATTGTTTTATATACACGGTTGCAAAAACGGAGTAAACTATTTAAAGGAAAGAGACACGTCTACACGGTTTCAGTCAAGCCAAAACGATCTTCATTCAAATCACGTGATCATCCATTTTGTACAGCAACTATAAGGAATGTGAAAGAAGTTTCCTCTTATTTAGGCCCCAAGAATGTGTGCTTTATTAATCAAGACAATAAAGCTCGGATTCTAATTAGAATCACAGCTGCTAACAAACAAGATCCTATACTTATGTGTATGGAATATCGAGTTTCTTTTCATGATCATGATTGGACCATCGCCTCAAAGCACAAGCTTATCCCGTCTCTCTACGAAGGCATCGAAGATGGGCTCGGAAAATCTGACATAGTTTTCTATTTCGGTGCCACATTTTTATTTATTTTGTTTATTTTTTTCGTTTTGTTTTTTGTTTACATTTTTGTCGTTGTTTACAAAAACAAAACAAACAATACTTCTCAAAGAAGATCATAATGATCTTATCATCAGAACCTTTTACATGTTTTTTACGTCAATACATAAACAAGAGTAAAAAGTTACAATAAATCGTGATATAAATTGAAAACATAAAACAAACCACAATATATATAATATAATAGTTAGATCATATCGTCAGAACTTATAAAAACGCAAATATATAAGCATCATATATAAATATATATGTAAAGTAAATACAATAATACATCTATTTATAATAGGAAAGTGAAAATACAAGTCTTACAATTAAAAAGACAAATACGAGGTGGTTATAAAAAGTTTTTAAAAATATTACCAATAGATAGAATAAAATTTGTATGTTTACATTTAAAGATTGGAAATGTATTGGATATATCAATATTACGTATAATAATTTTATCCAAAGGTATCGTGCTCGAAACGTAATGCAAAATTTGTTATTGTTGCAAAATTTGTTGTTCTTTAAAGATAGGTAAAATTAAATGGAAAATTCCATAAATAAATAAAGCGTAAAGTGTTATAAACATTGAGCTCGTAAATATTAAGTATTTTTATTTATATAAATATCGTTTGGAATGAGTAAAACAATCCGCAAAATTAATCAATCGGATCACGTAGCTTCTAAAAAATAAAGGTTCTCAAAACTAAAATTTACCCTAATGAATTGTCTTAAATACCAGACTTGCCGACTAAATTCGTAAAAAAACCTACTTTAACTTGAAAATCACTTTTTTGGGGGACGGAACACCAACCCCCCGGAAAATTGCCTCTGAAGACATGGTAATTTACTTTTTTTGGTGCTTATCCAAGCTATGATAGCATAATTTATACAGGTGTGAATAAATGAGTAATAAAGTTGAATTAAAGCTTTTTTGTTTTGTTTGATCTGGTTTTGTATAATACTTCGTTACTTTTAGATATTTTTGAGCAATACAGTCATTTTTTTTTTTTTTGCCGTTTTATATATTTACAATAAAGACATATTACATTTATAAAAATTGGCCCGAGCAGGAAGAAGACATTGACTGTCTTATCCCCGAGCCCCGATTACATATTGTCTGTGATTATAAACAAAAAAATAACATATACTTTAAAAACATTTTATAAATAACACTTATAATATTATAAATAACAGTTATAATTATAAATAACAGTTTATAAACAAAAAAATAAC